AGAATCTAATAAAAAAATCACGCCCAGCAACAAAATAAAATTTTCGTCATCGAATATCAAGTAGCTTGCTAGCTAATAACATGTCAACGGTGCTTCACATTGTAAACATTCGTCCAGATATTCCTAACAATCGGATCGGAAAATTTCACGTGCCACCCCATGAAAAAGGGAAAGAAAATAACAATCGCAAAGAGGGGGGGTAATCGAGGTTCCATGTAAAGGGATAACAAGAAACAAGGTGAAAGTAAAACCAACCTTGGCGGAGGAAGAAAGATCATCGACCATTGTGGATGAGCTCAAAAGTTAAGCGCATGAAAAGGCATTGGATGGCTGGGAAAACTCATTACGCTGCTTTTTATTTCTTTGAATCGTCTTTAAGCTTTTCAGATCTTCTTGCGTCAAGGTTGACGAAAATGGCAAAAGACGCTTTTATGGGTGTGAGTTTTTTCTCGTGAGAAATATGACTAGATGCTTCCCCGCTTACAGGTTCCTTCGTTTTGTTGATTTCTAGATACAAATAAAAATTGTCGTGAGCTATATATATTTTATCTCCTTTTAACGTATTTATTCATTATTCGTACCCCAATAAATGAAGTGAAAAAACCATTTGACAATTTCAAAATTAGCTGCGCATGCCATATAGGGTGTGCCTGGTTAAAAAAAAAAAAGATAGAGGGGAGGGATTTTAAGTTAATAGAGGAAAGGAGAAAGGGGTTAATGTTTCCTTGTTCGAATTGATTGGCTGGGAGGGGAGGGGAAGAAAAAGATTTTAATCAACCTTTATTTAATTTAAGAGAAAAGGAGATGAGAACTAATAATATGTTAGTTTTATTCTTATTAATTTTAAGTAGAGCTAGTAAGACGGATTAAATCTGCTGGCTCAACCTACAAAAATGTAATAAGTTAGGTTAGAGGAAATGAGTTCATTTAAATGAGAGTTAGTTTTAGCCCACCTCTGCATAAATTAGACCCGCAGCAAGCTAATCACAGATTGGCAGGTTAACTTGCTTTTAAAAAAAGATAGAAAACAAGTTGAGAAGAGAAACCCTCACTTGCTTTGTCGATAATCATTATTGACTTCTTAGTTAAATTTTAGAATTGGATCATTGAATCATCTCAAACTCAAAGCATAAAAGCAATTAATTGAGTTAGAGAATCAAAATTTAAAGAGCTATAAAAATAAAAACAATAAAACAGGTCTTAAAATTATTTTTGAACTTCACACAATATACTAAAAAAATTAATATATCTCCCATGAATTGAAAGTGAATTTATAAACAAGTCACATCACTTATTACTTTTAAGTGTTGGGGTCGTCAACTTTATTTTTTGTTACCCTTATTTAACATAATTGAGTGGGGTTGTGGAGGTTAATTTTTACAATGTTACAACAACTTTGGTGAAAAAGAGGGAATAGGACATTTTGATTTGAAGAGTGACAATTATGAGAATGTAGAAAAAAATAATGTTAGACCTCCTTACTTTTATTATGAGAATAGTACACTTGCACTTAAAAGTGTTTGGCAAACAATATCTAAATTCTCGTATTATCTTATTGTAATGTAATGTAATTTATATTGTCAAATGATGTAAAAATGTATTATTGTTTAATAATAAATGCAATTTACTAGTATTCAATTGTTATTCTTTATACTTTAAGTTGATATGATTAAGCTTTGCATAGTATTATTGTTTAATAATAAATGCAATTTACTGGTATTCAATTGTTCTTTTTTATACTTTAAGTTGATATGATTAAGCTTTGCATTTAATAATAGTGACTATTAAGAATATGCTTTAGTATTTTTATGAAAAATATAGCAAATTTTTAGAATACCCATTTACATTTTCAAAATATCCATATGCGTTTTCAAAATATCCATATGTATTTTCAGAATCTCTATTTATATTTTCAAAACATGCATTTATGATATCCTGAAAACACAATATTGATGCAATATTCAAACCTTAAGTTCTGAGCTATATTTAAATATGTATTTTAGATATCCTGAAAATGCAATTTTTCTTTCATTTATTCAATTAACCATTTTGAATATTTGAATATTACTTCAAGGAATTACAAACATGCTTTCATTTATTTGAATAAGTGAAAGTTTTATTCAAATATATAAAAGAAATTTGCATTTTGTTGAAGACGAGTCACATATTAAGGAAGAAATATTGCATGTGCTTCCAAAGATATTCATAAGAGAAATTATCGAGTCATATTTGAATATTCAAAAGCATTATTTCAACATGTGGAAGAAATTTACACATGTTGAATATCAATCACATATCAAGAAAAAAAGATTGCATGTACTTCCCAAAGTATTCATAAGAAAAATTAATGAGTGATATTTAAATATGTAAAAATGTTATTTAAATATGTGAAGGAAATTTGTATTTCATTGCAAATTGATTGCATATCGAGGAAGAAAGAAAATATTCACAAGAAAAATTAATGAATGATTTGAGTATCTAAAAGCATTATTCGAATAAATGAAAAAATTTTGTATATAATTGAAATTCAAACACACGTAGTGGAAATAATCAATGCATATAACTAAAGACCCCTAATTTTAGTATTTCAAAATGCTTCTAAGTTAAAAATTGTCATAACATTAAAAGATACTATTTGAATAAATGAAAGTTTGATTGCATATAATTGAGGTTCAAATGCATATAGTGGAGGAATCATTGCATGTGACTGAAGTCCCTACTTTTAATATTTCAAAATGCTTTTAAGTTTAAACTTTTCAAAATATCAAAAGATGTTATTTGAATAAATGAAAGTTTTCTTACATATAATTGAAATTCAAATGCATATAGTGAAAGAATCATTGTATATGACTGAAGAGCTATGCTTCTAGTATTTCAAATTATTGGCAACGAAGAATCTTGTGACATATTGGCAAAAGGAATATTATATTAAGTGTTGACATAAAATTATTAATAGCAAAGAACTTGATAACATATTGACAGCAACGGACCTCTATAAGAAATATTGATAGTGAAGGACCTTGCTCCACTTTTGCTTTTTTAAATAAGGGTATTTATGTCATTTAACCCTTAACAATTAATTCCAGTGAATGACCCATTTTTAGAATCTGGCCCATCCCCTTCTTAGCAAATAAATATGTGGTGATGTTTTTTTGGGCAATTTTTCCTTACTTTTTACCATTATTATTAAATTTTTATTAGGTCATTTGAGTTAGATTATTTAAATTTTTATTAAGACCATGCTGGCAAGTATCTCTTTATTAATTTTTAAATAAAGAGACAAAAATATTAAAGAAGTTATTAACTAAGAGCATCCAATAACTTAAAATGAGAAAAAAATGTGTACCCATGAAGTTTTTTTTTTTTTGGTGCATTCATAACCAAATTGTTAAGTAAGAAAAAAGTTTTTTAACGGTTTGGTCACAGATACATAAAAAAATAACTTCATGGATACTAATGTATTTTTTCTTATTTTAAACTATTAGATGCTCTTAGCCGATAATTTCTTAAGTATTTTTGCCCTTTTGCCCTTAATTTTTTTTATTAAGTTATTTGAGTATAATTAAGGAAAAATTAGTGAAAATGATCTTATTGAAAAGGAAATTAGTCCCAAGGACCAAATGTAATTGAATGACCAAGGCTTATATTTTATTCATTAAATAATTTAAGCAAATAAACGGAATACCCCTGTGTGTTAATTAATTCTTTTTTCAAAAAGGTACAAAATCCCCACCGAAGCTCTAACAGCCAGAGCTTTGGTCACCGAAGGTCTTGCATGTGATAGTGCGCCTGTCGGAGCTACGGTCAATAGGTTGCCAGAAAGTATCGACACCTCTTGATTACATATAAACATCAAAGATTACATATAAACTCAACAACTAAAGGGTGCAAAGATTTTGACTTAAGGTGCAAAGGTTCTAACTTAGGTGTAAGGAATTTGGCTTAGGCGTAAGACTTCTGGTTTAAGGTGTAAGAGTTATGGCTTGGGTGCAAGGCTTCTAGCTTAGGGTGTAGGGGCTTCTAGCTTGGGATGGAAGGCTTCTGGCTTAGGTGCACGCAGTCTAGCTTAGGGTGCAAGGGATTTGGCTTAAGATGCAAGTGTTTTGACTTAGAGTGTAAGGCTTCTGACTTGGACAATTACATGTAATATCTTATGGATTACATGTAAATCAAATACACAGAAAACACACCCCTGTCAATCCTCTAGAATTATATGAAAATGACTATTGATTACATGTAAATTAATATGAGAAAAAACTCGTGAGCATGCCTGAGGAAAGATTTACATATAATCTCTAACGGATTACATGTAAATCAATCACACAGAAAGGATGCCTCTGTTAGTGCCTCGGATTTACATGTAAGCTACCATTGATTACATGTAAATCGATGTGAGGGAAAATTTGCGAGCATGCCTGAGGAATAATTTACATGTAATCTTTAGAGAATTATATGTAAATCAAATATACAGAAAGCATGCCTTTATTAGTCCCTCAGAATTACATGAAAATTTCTGTAGATTACATGTACATTAATGTGAGTTCCCTTAAATTACATGAAAATGATTATGAATTACATGAAAATGACTAAACCAAATCTCTTGCACCCAAGTCATACCCCTTACACCTTAAGCCATAACACATACACTTATGTCAGAAGCCTTGTACCCAAGCCAAAACCCTTATACCTTAAGCTAAAATTCCTATACTCTTTAATTCTAGTACCCCAAATAAAAATATATTATAGGGAGTAAGATTAATATCATGCTCATGTTAAACTACATCATACCTTATATTAAAAATAAATAAGGGAACACTCACAATAATTTCTCTCTTTTAAGTATTATACATTATATAGCAAGCCATATTAACTTATAAAAGATGCAAATTCAATAATGTAACATTGAGAACAACTAAATTGTCTCGAGAAAACAAGTAAATGTGGAAAGCAAGAATGAACAATAATAATTTCAATGAAAGAACATTAATTCTATTATATTTGGTTTATCTTTTTGTTAAGTACGATCAAAATGATAAATAAAGACTATAGGGCACCCCATATCAAAAGATATACCATGGGGGCTTAAGAACAACATTATGCCCATATTAAATTACATCTTATCCTATACAAAAAAAACAAATAACTACATTTTAAAATACAATCATAATTTCATTCAATCTTTCAGGGAAATCTCTTGATCAGCATTTCCTTATAGCAGACTTGAGTTATGGTATGCATAAGTTGAATTTGCAAAAGTTTCTTGATTTGAACTTATTTTTTCTCTCATCTTCATATGGAACCTTATGCTTTAATGCGTTTAAAACATTATGCCTGAAATAAAAATTAGCAGCCATCACAAGTGGGTCATTCATGTCATGCTACATTCAAGTATAAGATGTTTATCCAAAATAGAATAGATTCAGTAGTATTACCAATTCCCAAACTTATCACTTTTATGTCAAGGTACTTCTGTAAGGGTGCAACCCTTCTTCTAGCAATCTGCTCTCTACAGTAAAATGGTGAAATGAATATCAGCACAAAGGGTACTATAAAGTAATGCAATATCAAACACTATAATCAAAATAGACTCAACATTCGAGAAGGGAAACTATAATAGCATGACCCCTAGCCCCTTACACTGGTGAATGTGGTACTGGCACGTGTCCCCTCATGGGACCACGTGCAGCTTTCCATGGTAGTACATGAGTTATTCCTCACTTGACCAAAAAAATCTTTTGGAACCTTCCTAAGGATCAAGCTCACAACCTCTTCTAATTTAGTGAAGTTGTAGCCAACCCTGGTGCCATTGGGTCAATCTTGGGAAGGTTCAAAAAGACCTCTCTAGTAAAGTAAGGAATAACCCATGTACTACTATGAGGAAAGTTGCACGTGGGCCCGTGAGGAGACACATGTCAGCACCATATTTGCCAGCGTAAGGGGCTAGGGTTGTGTTGTTGCAAAAACCAAGAAAAATTGCTTATTACATCATCTTATTTAGATTAAACAAAAGATAAAGATATTAAATATTGTCGCTGTTACATTCCTTTTTAGGTCTTTAGGACATATAAATTTTTAGATTCAAACACTTTATTTTAAAGCATATATTATAAGAATACATCTCATTTCCACTATTTTTAGCCCTACATCTATCAATTACAACCAATATTCAAATATAACATGTAAGGAGTAAGGCAAGTAAAGGTATCATTTTGAATATCACTTAAATGACAATTTTCATTTTCATAAGAAAATGAAATTGGATCATTAAATGCCATTGAAGTTGTGTAAATATGTGTTTGATAGTATATGCAAACAGATTCTGATTGGTCTTGCAATATATTATGAACATTATAATAATAAAGACAACACTTATAGCTTTCATAAAATGAATGATGAATTTCGTCCTTGTGGTCTAATTAAAGTTAGAAGCAAGCCACTGTTTGAATGCTTAAGATAACATTAATAGGTGCTTGATCTCTTCTTTTGATAACATTTCAACAACTGAATGCCAAAAGGCTACTTATTATGTGTCATATAGAAAATGCTGCTTTATAAAGTGTCCTAAATAAAAGATGCATCTTTTCACATAGAAATGTATTGTTCACTTACCCAAGCTGAAGAATAAAGGGCAAAGAAGTATAACATTGTATATTTTGAGTCCTCCACAGAGAAGTAATGGTATCATGCATGCTCTAAACACCAACTCCTTAGTAAAGGGTGCCTGTTCAACAAATTATAACTAGGTAATCTCATATTGCATGTATATATGTAGACTCATCAATATTTTAAAGTTTATAGATTTTTGTCTCTATAAAAATAATAGCATAGTTCCTAGAAACCAATAAAGAAGGTAAAAGAACATTAGAAGAGGACATAAATAGTTCACTTGCTACTAAATAATTGATGGGGGATAGAGTGTGCCAAAATTCTCCAGCTTAATCCTAATAAAAATTTTCATTATCTTTCTCGTAATGGAATTATCGTAAGAAAATAAGTTATGGAATGGACAACTATATAGAATCATGCTTAAAATTCTAAGAACTCAAGTTCAAATTATTTGCATTGTTGGATGGAATTCATCAATTGATTAGCCATATTCAATGGGTTTTAAACTTTATTAGTACTCTTTATTTAATAGAGTGAAAATAATCATTCTCAACTCTTCTTCCAACAATATTAAAATTTTCTCATTAACACTAAAAGATAAATGTGTCAAAAGTATATCATTTTTAGTTCACCAAAATGCATAAGTGGACCTCAGATAAACTTCTTGGTTTTGTAAACAACTCTTCAAAGATTATACAGTTTGCAATGACTCTTCCAATACATATTCTCCTAGAAGCTAGCAAAAGTCTTTTTAAGTGCAGAAAACAACTCTAGATAACTAAAGCCACTATCATTGTGAAAGCACAATTTGTAGGTAAGTGTCAATGCCTCTTGATCACATGCAAACATCAAGGATTACATGTTAAAAAAAAGTTCAAAGTTTGCAAGTAAGCTTCTTTGTGTCGGATCTCATTTCTCTAGGGAAATGTACATAAAGCAAGAATAGAATTAGATTTGAGATGAAACAATTACCTTGAGTTGAAATTTAAGGGAGCTAAGAAAGTGGAGGAGGATGAAGAGACTGAGATGGCTAGATTGTGGGAGACCATGGAAGACACTTCAAGTGACATAATAGTAAAAAGTTGCTTTGTCCAAAACCATAAGTGAAGATGGGTGGAGTTGCTTGTCAGTGGAGGAGGTCTTCAAAGCGGCTGTAGCACATTTGCAAAAGTTGTGAAATTAAATGCATATAAATAAGAGAGCAATTATTAGACAAAATTAATTTAAGTGAAGGCGAGTTTGAGAGTGATCGACAGGGATGGAAGTGAAATGATAAAGCAAGGAAGACAATGGTTTAGAGGAAAAGGGTTATCGAAAATCATCTCAACTTCACAAGAATGTTTCTTCAATAACAAAGGTCATTTTCATCCATTTTCTTCATCCTTTTTTGAATAAAATAACAAGATTGGTCCTTCAATGCACTTTGGTCCTTAGGCATAATTTAGCTTCTAACCTAGTTCTTTTCACTAATTTTCTCTATAACTAATGATTTTTCATTTAAATGTTCATTTTTTATATAGGAAAATGACATAAAAATTTCTTTGAATTATGTAAATAATAATTTGATTTCTCGAAATGTCATAATGCTGATGAAGTCTCTAGAGACTTTTATTTCATTAAGAAATTAATATAAATAACCAAATTATATTTAATTCAAATATCATTGTCATTCACAAGTTTTGTTTTAAGATTTATAACTTTATTTCTTAAAATTGCAAGAATTCAACATAATTAGCAAGTTTGCATTTAAAATTTTGATATTCATCAAACATTGCAAATATCAATTGTCATTCACAAGATTTGTTCTAAAATTCATAACTTTTCTCTTAAAATCGTAAGAATGCAACAGCAATTTGTAAGTTCACATTTGAAATCATGATATTCATCAAGTGTTACAAATATCAATTGTCATTCACAAATTTTATTCTAAAATTCATAACTTTTTTTTAAAATCAAAAAAATACAACAGCAACTGACAAGTTCATATTTGAAATTCTGAACTAAAGGCAATTTAATCATTTATATTAATTTCTTAATGATAGAAAAGTCTCTAAAGATTTCAAAAAAAATTATGATATTTTGATAGACCAAAATATCATTTATATAATTTAAATGAATTTTAGTATTATTTTCCCTTTTTATATTTATGGATATTTTTATGCATGTAAATTCAATTAAGTAATTTTAATTAATACCAATCTAATTTTGAATTGACTATCAATTGAACTATTAATTCTTAATCTATTGTCTTAATCGGTTAATGATCGGTCCAACCGGTAGTCTCTTGATAGTTAGTGAAAATAAAACAAAATCTTCCTCCATAATTTGAGAGCTATGTCCGCTGAATTCATTGTTGTGTCGTTGGGGGGAAAAAAAGTAAAAATATAAAATATAAAAACTCAGCTCTGAATTTCAGTAGATTTGAGACCGGCTGCTCGGAAAACACGTGTTTCCTCTTACTTTTCTTCACCCTTTCTGCCTTTCTTAAAAGCTCAGGGGACGAAGGGATATTTTCCCTACAAGAATCAAAGCGCTTGCTTGATACTTGTTACCCATACGCCCATACCAAGTCAAAATGGCCGAACGAGATGATGACGTAGCCCACGAGTTTCCCTTCTTCCGCGTGCACAAAGACGGCAGAGTTGTTGTTTTCCGACCCCCCACCGAAAAAATCCCACCTTGCGATGACCCCATTACCGGCGTCCGATCCAAAGACGCTATCGTCTCCGCCGAACCTCCCGTCTCCGTCCGGATCTTCCTTCCCAAGATAACCGACCCCAGCCGAAAACTCCCCGTCCTCCTCTACATCCACGGCGGCGGGTTCTGCATGCAGTCCGCCTTCTCCCGCCAGTACCACAGCTATGTCGCCACGGTTGTCGCTGAAGCAAACGTCATCGCTGTCTCCGTCGAGTACGGTTTATTCCCGGACCGACCCATCCCCGCCTGCTACGAGGACTCATGGGCCGCGCTCCAGTGGATCGCGTCGCACGCGGGTAGATCTGGACCCGAGTCGTGGCTGAACAACCATGCCGACTTCGAAAGAGTGTTCGTGGGCGGCGATAGTGCTGGAGGCAACATAACCCACACGGTGGTGGGTCGGGCGGGGAAAGTGGGGTTGTCGGGTTTGAAGATAGTCGGGGCGGTTCTGATGCACCCGTTCTTCGGGGGCACAGTAGATGATCACATGTGGATGTACATGTGTCCAGAGAATGAAGGGCTGCAGGATAGGAGGATGAAACCGGCCGTGGAGGATCTGAAGAGACTTGGGTGCGAGAGAGTGTTGGTGTTTGCGGCTGAGAAGGACCACTTGTTTGAATCGGGAAGGAATTATGTGAGAGAGTTGAAGAAGAGTGGGTGGGGTGGTGAAGCAGAGCTTGTGGAGAATTGGGGTTCAGAGCATTGCTTTCACATTATTGGGAATCCCAGAGAAGGTAAGGCTGAGGATTTGCTTCAAAAGCTCGTCTCTTTCATCAAACGCGACTCATGAGTCTCCTTCTCCCTCAGTTGTTGTGTTGTGGCCTCTACTCCACCATGAATAACTGATCACTATCATTTCTCTTCTGTAATTGTATTAATCTTGTCGTTAGCTTTAATCAATATTGTTTTTGTTTGCTGCCTGGATTGTCTGGTAGCATGGAAAAATTTTCAACAGGGGAAGTGGAAGTGGAGAGCATGTTTAGCATGCTTTTTTTTTTTGCCGGGGGGGGGGGGGGAAGAAGTGATGGAGGAAGTGAATTTCATGAGGAATATGCAAGTAAAACTGAGTTCAATCAATTTTAATAAAAATGGATTTTCTAGAATAGAAAAGTGAGATAGTATCAAACAATCAATTTTTTTAAACTGCACTTCACTTTTTTAATCCTAATTCCATCCTACTAATTGGTGTATAAATACTTTGTGAGCAATCCTTCCCTCATTGATTGGCATTGGAGAAAGCATGAATCGTAAATTGCAGTTAAGGGGAAATAATTCAGTTTTAAATATTTTTTTAACTGTAGGAAGAATTAACGGTGTATATGTCATCTTATACTATGAAACTAATTAAGTGGCCAAATACAGGAGTATTTATGGTGGTGTGAAGAAGCTTTGGGATTAAAGTAAAATTATTAGTGAGGCTTAATGTGTGATATTGTCCCTTTAAAAAGTATCTATCTTTATATTATTTTTCAACCCTTTTTGAACTACAAAATTATATTATTTTAGTCTTATTTATAAAACACTTTCAACATATTTTATTATGATTAAAGAAAATTATAAAATTTATTAACTTTGCTTAGAAATTTAATACTTTCTCAATTTTATTTTCATTAAATATTCATATTTTAACAATACATTTTCTCTCTTTAATATTTAATGAAGACCAAATATAAAAATTTGTAAAAAAAAATTAATAAAATAATTTATAAATAAAATAAAAAAAATTTTTATCTTTGTCCTATAAATAAAATTCAAGGAGTATATTAAAGCTTTTGTAGTAAAGCAATTCTGATAAGAAGGCAATTTGAGGCCCAAGGCTAACACTTCAATGGCTTAAAGCTACACATGGCCCTGGTCTACGGTAAAAAAATGTAAAATCTAGTCAAACAACCATCACGAAAGGCTGGCGAAGAAAACCATAAAAAAAAAAAAGAAAGGAAAAAAAAAAAAAAGAAAGGAAAAGTGGAGTATATGTGGAACATTGTAACAACTGGCATTGTTTTAAATTAAGAAATTGTATAACAAAAAATTTGTCACTACGTCTAAATTAATTAAAGCTTCACTTCTGATATTTTCAATTTAATTTATAAGAAATTTTATCAAGTATTTAAGTATTAGTAATAGTAATTCTTAACACAGGAATGTCATATGCCCATAAGGGGGTAGAATCAGGATTAGGTATCAGGATCGACCAAATGTAAATGACGCGTGTCATCCTCTTACTATCTTCTTGAACAGACGTGTTACTTACTCCATTTCTCGTTCTCTTCCAATTGCAGGCACGAGAGGGGGAGAGAGAGAGAGAGAGAGAGAGAGAGAGAGCGAGCGAGCGAGTTTGGTTATGGGCCGTCTCCTCTCACAAATGGGTAGAATTATGCAGAAGTCTCACTTAAAAAAAAAAAATTACTGTAAAGTTTATTAATAAATGATATAAGGTTATTATGTGTTTTAAATTACCTTATGTCAGTTTTTGTAATGATTGAAATATCAAAAATATTAGTCATCCTTAAAAAAATTGAAAATTCTTGTTGATTTTTCTTCCATCAATTCAATGTGTCATTCTTTCTATTTATAAAGCTTAAGTATTGAGTCACTCAAATAATTCTTTATATCAGACTTGTCTATACAAAATTATCTATATACTCATAAATATCTTCATCTATAATCAAGAATTATAATTTGTAAAAGATTAAAGAAATCACTTAAATACTAATAAAATAAAACAATATTAAAACATAACAAACTTGATTAACAAAATATTTAAAACATAATACATCAAATGCATCATCTGATTGTTATTGTTATTGAGACACTTGAAATATAAGACACATTTAATTTTTTTTTATATTTTGTACATTTTTTACCTGAATTTTATTTAAAAAATAATAATATGATCCCAATCTTTTCAAGCATGAAATTTATTTTTACCTCTAACTTAGCAGCCTGCCGTAGCTACTTTCCAGTTTAAAATGAGCTAGCTAGACAAGCTTAACCATTTTTTTGAGAATTTAATTGTTATAGTATATTTGTAACTCGAATCCAAAACTATATTAAGCTAGAATAATTCTCTTTCAATATTTTAAAACAAAATAATATTATGCCCGTAGTTAATACATGTTAATGTTAACAATTAATTGATAAAAAATTATAAAAAAACAGCATCTAATAGAGAACTCAAAAAATTATAAAATGCAAAATGTTACTACCAGGAAGACGCGTGATTCCCCAGCTTTGCCCATTTTATAAGAGCCTGCGACGAAGTGACAGTCGACAGTCCACTGCAAAGGATCAAAGAACTTTGCTTAGCTTGCTAGCAATAGCCACCACAAGATGGTCGAAAGAGACGATGAGATAGCCCACGAATTTCGCTTCTTCTTTTTACTAAAAATCCAGCAATAAGGATCGGGTTTTTTGAATTAACTTGGATATTCTATTATGAGGATCAAGTTAGGTTGAAAAATATAGATCTACATACAAATAATTTTTTTCTATCCTGAACCAAATAACTCATAATCCAAATAGATTACGCTTGATGGATTAGAATTGATTTATTTAAATTAAATTATTGTATAAAAATTAAAGGAAAATAAAAATTAAAAAGTGGAGAAAATTTTAACACCAAACCCACAAGACAAGCAGATTTTAAAATAAATTATAATAAAATCGATCAATTTGATACGTCTATAATGTAAATTTAAAAAAATAAGAAAAAATAATAATAAATTAGTGATCAATTTAACTTATCAATCTACTAGGGTTGGATTGGGTTAACAATTTTGCAACCTTAAACTTAAATCAATTCATATTTTATTCAAGTCATGTGGGCCAATCCAAATTCTCAGCCATGCATTAATTCTATAGCGGGGGAACACTGCAAATCTAGATAATTCAAGTCAGATTTGCAACGGAAGAGCGAGAAAGGAAAATGAGAAACTCACCCGTTTCAAAGCATAGCGAAGAACTAGGGAATTGCAGAGACAACCGTCTCCTCTCTCGAATGAAGATGTCTCTCACACAGCACAGGAACTATTCGCGATGAACAGAATAGCATACAGCCTCTGTTTTCCCCCTCTCCATTCTTAGACTGTTCTATATGAATTGGGGAAAGCCAACGAGATGACAAGCTCTGTCTTCTTCACTGCACTCTCTCAACCCAAATATCACTCTGCGCTCTTGAAACCATACTACCCACTCCCCAAAGGTGTTTTTATCCATTCTTTCCCTTTGTCCTCTTCTCTCCCCAGTCCTCTTCCTCCTCGCCTCCCCTCTCTCAAGCTCTCAAGTCCCTCTTCTGCTTCTAATTCTGCCTCCGACGAAGTAGCCTACGACTTCTCCCCTGTTATGAAAGTCTACAGAGACGGCCGTATACAGAGACTAGCCGGCGTAGATGTTGTTCCTCCCGGCATCGACCCCGAAACCGATGTCGAATCCAAAGATGTCGTGATTTCTGAACACGAAGCCATATCCGCCAGGATTTTCCTTCCCAGAATCGCGAAACCAGATCAGAAATTACCTCTTCTAGTTCACTTCCACGGCGGTGGATTCTGCATCGAATCCGCATTCTCCCCGGCTTACAAAATCTTCCTCAACTCTGTTACTTCTCGGGCGAACGTCATCTGCGTCTCAGTCAATTACCGGAATGCGCCAGAATACCCTGTTCCGACCGGCCACGAAGATTCCTGGACAGCCGTGAGATGGGTCGCTTCCCATTTCGGCGGCAACGGCCCCGACGAGTGGCTCAATCGTCACGCGGATTTGGGAAAGGTCGTCTTCATCGGGGATAGTACGGGTGCAAACATCGCACACCACATGGCGATTCGGGTCGGTTTAGAAAAACCATCGAACCTGATGCTGGAAGCTTTAATTTTGGTGCAGCCTTTTTTCTGGGGTGAGGAGCGAACAGAGTCAGAACGTAATCAAGCCACGTATGCGGCGAAGTTGGATCGTCTATGGAAGTTTCTCTGTCCGAGTGCTTTAGGGGGCGACGATCCGTTGGTTAACCCGGAGAAGGATCCGGATTTGGGAAAGCTAGATTGTAAGAGAGTACTAGTGTGTGTTGCAGAGGAAGATTTAATGCGGGATAGAGGCTTGAATTACAGAGAATTGGTGGAGAAGAATGGATTTTCGGGAGATATGAACGTGTTGGAGACGAGAGGGGAAAACCACGCGTTCCACTTATTCAAGCCTGGCTGCGAGAATACTGTGGCTTTGCTTACTAGTATTGCTTCCTACATCAACCAGTTTCAGGAGTAAGCAACCATTTTCTCAGCTTGCTTTTGGTTAATGCTAGATTTAGATTGCCGTTTGGATTGTAATATTTGCAGACTTTCTGTGCTTGGAATGAATTGTTGACAGTTTTATCTTGTGATAGAGAGCATTCTCTCCCCCTTCAAGATAAAACTCAAGATTAATTCTATTCTGTTGGAATTCATGACTATAAATATTCTTATTACTTTTTTTGGATTTTAATATTATCACTGTTCCAATTAAATAGAAAACACCATGCTACTTCTTTTCTCGCCTATTACTAGTTGTTACATACCAATCTTCAATTCCTGCCCACATATTCTTCTATTAAATAATATAACAAACGTAATAAGATAATAGGTTAAAATCAATCAAATAATTTTTTAAAAAAATTATGAGAATCTATTATAAATATTTTTTTTGGGCGAATATCATAAATATGTCATTGCTCTTCACAGGAAAACAGAGAAAGCCTATATGATTAACAAAATCTTGAGAAAGCTCTTGAGCCCAAGTGATTCTCAATTTGTGGGCCTGACTGTCCACAATCAATGACAAAGGATTCTATTGGGCTCTTTTCTGCTTACCCAGTGTTCCCTACAGGTTACATTGTTTGAAGGTTGCTTCAATACTGAGGTTTCTGGAGAATGTTTTTCTTTTGGTAATATATATGGATTGGTGATATATATTTAAGTGAATGCATTCAGTTTTATTTTTAAAAATAATAAATTACATTATCTGTGACTTGTGAATAGCTCGACTCATTCTTTTAATTCCTGGTAATGCATGGGATCCGATTAGATTCTATTAATATGATATTTGTTGGCCCATCTATTAGTATTATGTAATTAAAAGGAAAATACATTTTTTCTTTTACTGGTTCATTAAAGAAAAACAAAATGTGCATATTAAGATGTCAAGTTATTTTACCATCTTTTATTTGATTAAATATACTAGACTCAATTAATTTTTTATTTTTTGTCAAGCGTGTTACTTGTATTGGCGCGCTTCTGGCTTGTCTTTCTGGCTTTTAAGCTAATAAGAGAGTGTAAAATAGCTGCATGCATGTTTAATTAATTTGTCTGAGAAAATATCATTCAAGACTGTCCAGATAATTTAATATCAAACAAAGATGAAAATTTTTTGAAACATCACTATAGGATTAAAGGATTGATTTAAAAATAATTTTATGTAAGAAAATACTATAATATCCTTGCTTTTCTTTTTCTTTTTTTAAACTTATCAATTAGCGAATGAATTTTTATAAAATGTGAATAGATATTTATTTAATTAATGAGTGACTATTTGTTCAAATATGATCTACGTTTATTTCTTTTGACAACTAAATTTTTTTAAATTCTTGAACTTGTTAATTAATAAATAATTTTTGTTATATGTAAATGGATATTTATTAATTAATGAAAGATTACTTGTTGAAATATGGTATACATTTGTTCTTTTTCACAATCAAGCTCTTTTAAATTCTTAAACTTTTCAATTAGCAAATTATTTTTTGTTAAATACGAATGGGTACTTGTTAATTTATAATTGGTTACTTATTAAAACATGATTTATATTGATCCTTTCCCACTAATGGTGGACATACTTATATTTAAAGGTAGACAATTGCCCTCCCTCAATTTTGTGATATTTTATGTAAATATAGACTAGGTTTTCAGTTACCCCTACTAATACGTTTGTTTTAAGCCCACTAATTGAAAGAAAAATAAAGAAAGAGTAAGAAAGAGGGAGAAAAAAATGTCAATCACCTAGATCTACGTAAGGAGTTAGGATACAAAATTTGTCAAGGGAAAGAGAGAGTATAATTGAATCTAAAACTTCAGATTTAAAATATTGGAAAGAGTGAAGTTGACAATGAGATTATGAGTGTTTGGAACAGTACAATGAATGATTTTTTTAGACTTTTATTTGAAATTGTTTAATTCTGACTATATTTTTAGTGAAACCATTTACTTTATTTTTAATTTTCTTCTAGATTTTTACTAAAATCATTTGTATAGTTTAAAATAATTTTAATATTTATATATTCAATTTGTTGTTTAATTTTTCAGCAAATTAAGTTGTTGTACGTGGCAAGGGGTTCATTAATATTTCAACAAGTTGTTGGAGTTTGAATCTCAATTTCTGCATATGTAATAAAACCTAGATTATATGGTTCTATACACTAACGAATTAAATTGTGATATCGATAAAGTAAATATCATTCGTATCTTATCAAAAATAACTTTGCCCCCAGTGACATCGGATCTTGCATACTCCATTACTTTCCATAATCAAGTTTTTTTATATTTTTAAAATTTTCAATTAACGAATGATTTATTGTTAAATATGAATAAAAATTTATTAATTGATGAATGATTACTTGTCAATTAAAAAAAAACAAAGATATTATAATTTTTTTTATTCAAAATTATTTTATAATCAATCCCTTGATCCTGCAATGATATTTTAAAATTTTTTTGTTTGTATTTGATATTAAATGCCTTTAACAGTTCTTGAATGATATTTTTCAATTTGTTTTTCCCTGAGCTTCCATGCTGTTCCTCTATAAACATATCATTCAAACATAAGTTTTGTTTAAATAAACTGTGCGGGCTTTCAAGGATACCGCTTTAATATATTTTTTTTTAATGCAATTGTATGTTTTAAAATTCAAACTCGAGATTCTAAAATTAATAAATCCATTTAATTCTCTCAATCAGTTAGTCTAAGCGCTTCTGGTTGCACAAGCTTCTCTTTAAATTGCAACAACTTGCAGCAATTGTATGTTGATTTCTTGAAATGGAGCTTGACAATGTTAATTGAACACATTTTTCGTAACTCGCACAGTACTTCATTTGGTATGCTGAAGAAACTAAGTGCGTATATACAGTTGTAATACTTATATCGTGATTACTGACTACGACAATCTGAAAAGCATAAATGAAAGTAACTGTAAGCCTCAGGCATAGTGAAGGGCGTCAGAGTGTTGGAGCTACAGTTGGTTCAAGTCTTGAAGACATCCATATTCCATACACTCCAAAGGATACTCACAGGAAGTGACGCTGTTTTATTAATTAATTTGGATGAAGTGGTTGTAGTGAGTTATAATAAACATAAATAGAGCTTATAACAAGGAGGAAGTAATATTAATTTGAGCATATATGAAGGAGTATGAATTTGAACAGTGACATTTGGTAAGCAATTGAATGAGAAATTAACCATATAAGGCAGTTGAGCACATGGCGTGGAATGGAGCAAAGTTAGATCATAGATGGCAACTATTACACCACAGCACACAGCAACGTCTCCTGTTTGTTTGTCATTCATAGCTCAAAACCCCCCAAATTAAGAAAACACATAAAGCTTTCATTGGATATTTTAAAGGAAGAATCACGTTGAAGGATCACTCAAAGATATTATTTACAAATAAAAATTAATACGTAATGGATAGCTGTTAAAAGGAGAATGTGACTTTTTTGTTTAAATAAGATTTGTTATTAGTTATTATTTGCAAATAATTTTCTTAAGTTGTATTTGGATGTGATTTTTTCTATTTCAAATGGCTCATACTATGTTATTAAGGATGTTGGCCGGGGTTGACAGTTGAGTTGTTATGCCACTTATCAAATCCCCTTACCTACAATCCTACCCTTACCAATCCTACTTAATCTCTCTTCATTTTCATTCATCACTCCCAACTTACATATGGCCTCTTTAATTTCCTTCATTTTTACCTTCCTTAATTAACCACACACTACAGCATGTGAATTCAGTGATTCTTTTGGGCAAAAATAGAAATCTTATTGTATTAAGATGACAAAGCATGCATGGGTTTTCTAGACCTCAACGTCCCCTGACTGCTGTTTTAAGCCCCCCCCCCCAGCGTGTTATAGTTCTGTTAATAACGTTAAATTCATGTAGATAATTCTTTTGTATTAATTAAAATAGAATAGAATTTTATCAACAAAGTGTGATATGCCAAGGGGTAATTACTTATGCATCACTGATATTTAAACTTAGTATATTATCACTAACTAATATGCATAATATTCCTAAAAGGGAAAATTTCAATTTAGACCCTTTGACTACACTTGATTAAAAAGAGATCCCCTTAAACTCTAAAACTTCATTTTAATCCAAGGGGAGTAAAGTAAAATTAAAATGTTGAGAGAAATGACAAAACTAACCCAGTAGTAAAGTAAACTTCTTTTTACCATCATAGCAACACTAAAAATAAAATTAAGTGAAAATACACGCACAAATAACTCCAATAGAAATATTAACTACTTTAATATGAAAAATGGACAATTTTAATATCAAGAATTTGCAAGTGTCATTACTAAATTTTAATTTTATTTCAAAAGTTGTAATTACAATAAAATGAGTTGTTCATTGTCCATACAAAAATTGTTCATTTCCTTATATAAAGTTGTTCATTGCCCTTTACAAGAGTTTGTTGTGCCATTATTAAATATTAATTTTATTCCAAGTGTTATAATCATGATAAAATAAGTTGTTCATTGTCGGTATTAAAATTATTCATTTCCCTATATGAAATTATTCATTACCTTACCGAAGTTATTTGTGCTCATTTGTTCACTTGATTTTTTTCAGCGATCTTATTATAATAAAACAAGTTGTTTATTGTGTATAATACAGGAGTTGTTAATTTTCTTATAGGTGTTGTTCATTTTCTTATTGTAGTTATTTATATCCCCACTTGCACTTGTTAATATTTTTTAAAATTAAAAAGCACACCCGACAGATTTCTTCAGAGATAAATCTAAGAAGCAACCTTCGTTTAATTTCCAATCGTATTTGACTCTCTCTCCCTCTTTCCTTGAAAATCAATCGCGTGAACGCGTTGTAAGTTCCCCTCTATCTAGGCTCTTTTCTTTCTCTGCCTCTCTGTTCTATAAAATCTGTGTATACATCCTTGTTCATTTTCTTCCCTATACTTCTCAAATCGGCCCTGGGTCTTTGAATTGTTCAAATTTGTTGCTGTACAGACACATATCGAATCGTCTGTCTCTGCATCTTTTCTGGCAGTGGGTTATACAAAACTGTCCGTAGGCGCAGAAAAGAAGAAATCTCTGTCACTGAAAATCATTGGAGCCTGAAGAAATTGCTTGTGTGTTTTTGGGGAAAAATTAAGCAGCGTTTCTAGTTCCGCAAGGAGTTCCCCAATAGGGAAAGGGAGAAGGTTTGTTTTTTTTAATTTAAAAGAGAGTGAATTTTCTTATTTCTCTTAATAGTTTAATTTCACTTCATTACCTTTGGTCTGAAATGAAGTTTCAGAATTTAAGAGACTTTTTTTTTAATTAAGTGTGGCCAAGGAATCTAGACTGAAATTTTTCCTTCCTAAAATCCAAATAGAAAGTGCCGCTTTGATCATGATGCATTAGATTCGAGTACATGTATATCAATACAAAACATATATTTCTTGGGAGAGCTACAGTTATCCTGGTGTTTGTGACCTATATAATGCTTGAATCTAATTTTAAAAAAATTATACAAACTAGAATATCCTTTATAAATGATTGGGGAAATAATACGGAATCTCAATATTAATGATATAGTTAAGGATTTTAAAATTTTGAAATTTTCAAAAAAGCCATCCTTGGTTGAAGTTGAAATTTTTTTTGAGTTTATTTGTTTAGCACTCATCCTCTATATTTTTATTACTTATCTTTAATATTTCAAGTAGTCAATTTTTCAATTTTTATAGCAGTCATCTTGGATGTTTTTAATATTGATATTTCATTTTCCTTGTTTTCAACATTTATTTTTTATTCTTTTCAATATTAAAAACATGGAAGTTGAGTATTGGAAATATTATTTAGATGACTACGGAAAAAAAAATTAAAAAGAATTGAGTACTAAATATGTAAAACGTGAGCAAGAAGATCCGTGCTAAAAAAATTAACTCAGGGATTCCAACTCTTTAAATGTCATTTCCGTAAAGTGACGTACGTAGCAAAGAACGATCCCTAACTCCACCTTACTGTCCTGACTTGAGAAACATGGCGTTGGAGTTTGGCATGCTGGCGTCATTGTCTCTGCAGAAATTATTGTTTTCTGCGTTTGCTTGGTTCATGCATATTATGGCGCCATCTATCTCTCCCTCTATCAACTCGATCCACTTTCACTGCCCCCTCCTCTATCTTTCTCTACCAAACCTACTAATCAACACACAAACACCCATGCTCATTAACTCACTCTCTTCTATTAGGAACAATGAGCAAAAGTTTAGGAGAAGATAATAAATGGACAAGAGTAGTAGAAAGACAATGGCAATAAGAACAATGGGCAGCCTCATTATATTAGGTGAGATCAGTTACATGAATTACACTATACTTTCATATTCTATCATTTATTAAATTTTTAGGAATATTGTTGATTGAGAAATTTTGGCCAACAATTTTTGTAATTTTTTTTAGAACCTTCCTTGACTCTTCTTTGTAGAGTTTAAAATTATTTGTTTTTTCTTTTTTCATTGGTATCTCTTGGGGTCTTTTCTGTGTATATTCAAATCATCTCAAACAATTATTTATCATTTTTCCTTCAATAAATGTTATGCCCACACTTTTTTTGTTCATATTCATTCCAAATTTTATTTTTATAAATATGCCTGCATATCTGTATCAATATTTTCATTTTTGCTATTTCAATTTTATGCAATCATGTTGTTTCTTTAAAGCCCAATAAGTTTAGTAGTAAAAAAATATCATGTCACACATCATTTTAAGTTCACGTACATTTAAATAACTTTTAACATTTTGATTGGCATTTCTGCCCTATATAAATAAATTGATGGGTTTAAAGTGAAGGTGACCTAGAAACCAGAAGGCGCGATTGATATGTGTCATGATAAAGTACTCATCATCACAAACGGCCTTCTAATAATAGAGACTACAGGCAAAGTGGTCCACGTCCCTGCAGCTCCCTCCATCTGTTCAGTGCTCTGTGTTTCTTCATAATGCCTCCCACACTCACCAAGCTCTAACCCAATTCTTTAATTTGAACCTCCCAGTATCGTGTGCCCCACTCGCTTTTTCCTTCTCTTTCCGAGAAAATTTGAGACACGGCTTTAAGCCACTTAATTATCAACCCAATAAATTAAACCTATCATATATAATCAACCTCATCCACATAACACGGACCCTTCTTCCCAATTTTTTAGTTTAAAATTATAACCCGATAAGTAAACAAGGCCGTGGTGGAAAGCGCGTGGTTCACGTACGTCAAGCATGTCAAAGTTGACGACCTCTTTTTTTATTATAATTTATAGAGATCCATTTCGATGAATAGTGTTTTTTTTAAAATATATATATATATATATACTGAATATAATGTATTAAAATAGTTTTGGTTTGATGTTGTGGGAAAAAAGAAAGGAAATTAAGAATAATGAAGAAAAAGCTGAGAGTTGGAGGCTTGCACGCGTCCAATTGTCTTGTAGGGTTAAACTGATGAGAGGAAAAGATAAGAGGCATGCCAACGCAGAGGAGCCTATGGTGGGCTACCCACGTAGTTACGTCAGAACTTCATATGCGCATCCTTTCCATCTTGAAATTTCACTCTGACATCCATGTCCCTTCGCTAATTCTCTCTCGAAACACTTCACTCCTTTCTTCTGTCTCTCATACCACCCTTTTCTTCTCCTTGCCTTTGTTAACCTACCTAGATGAAATGTAGGGGTTTGTATAGATCATGAAGCCAAATGATCCACTTTCAATTAGGGGGAAAAAACAAGAAGAAGAACTATAACTAATTTTTTTTTTAAAAAAAATCACATTTGATATTAACTTTCTTATAAGATTTTTAGTCGTCATTCTTGTTTATGTTCCACCCATAATATCTTGTCTACAACTTTATACATTTAATAGAAATTAAAGTCATGATTTCGAGTTGAAGCTTACATGTGAAAGCATATCATCATTTCTTTGTAAACATGGTTAGATTAGATGAACATTGTGTGCATATATATTGTTATTAATTTCTTATACATGGTGTGTGACAACGTTCACCTAACTAAATTTTGTCATTAAATTCATAATAAATAATGTAACTTAAAACGTTAACTTATTTGTAGCAATTAATGGGCAATTTTTTCACACACAATAGCCATATATATACACGGAAAGTGTTGTCGAAGAAGTCACATATATCAGTCAACTGTTTTCATTGTTGTATATTCACATTCATTTTTAAATATTTATTTTAAAATCAATAACATGAGTGTTATTTAAAAAAAAATTTACTTCCTCTATTAAAAAATGTAAAGTATTTTTTAAGAAATTGAATATTAAAATATAATGCATTTTTAATCTTTTGAAGTGTAATCATTACTTTTTTTTAAAATTATTCTTATTAATAATGACTTTATATTTATTATAGGGTGTTTAATAAATGATAAATATGAAAAGTTAGGATTATTTTAAAAATAAATAACTATTTTATTGTGGAGTAACATTCTGTTAAAAATAGTTTATATTTTTAAATGAATGAAATATCTGTTATTGTATTTTATTTATTTTTTCACGCATAAAAACAATATTATCCTACGGCAAGGCCAAAACGCTGCTGAACGTGTGCATATCAATCTAGAAAGTTTAAACGATTGCAATAAAGTTTTATTAACTCAACACGGAGAGAAAGCTCAAGATATTTTGTCCCTATAGAATTTAATCCCAAGAAAAAAAGTTCAACTCTTAGGAACTGGGAGAAAAATAAAATAAGTAGTAAGTTTCAGTTTTCATTTTGCCCCCCACATTGAAAAATTTGACTGAAGTGTGTAGGAGTTAGAGCGAAGCGTTTCCCTTCACATGGGCTTCTGCAAGCGGCATTATATTACATGTGTGAGCGTTTTCGGCGTATAGAAGACGCCGATCGTGGGTCCCGCCTCAATTTTTTATGATTCAGGTCACCATAACGATGACGTTTCGTCCCAATGAGCGAGTCAAATGGACCACACCTCCTTAAAAGCCATCTCAACCGTCCATCTAATCACCAGCTCATCAATTCATGGTCTTCTATCATCACCCACTTTTTAAGCTCTCCCTCCCTCCCTCCCTCCCTCTCTCTCTCTCTCTCTCTCTCTCTCTAGGCTTCGCAGCATTACCAGAGTGAGCTAGTAAGGAGAAGAGAAAGGAAGATAATGGGTGACAATAAACGCAGCGTTTCAATGATTGCAGACACGGATACTTCAACCGGAGCTTTCGTTTCCAAGAAGAGGAAACCTAGCGTTGATGGTTTTGGTTCTTCTGAATTGGAGTTATGCCCTTCTGACTACCACCTTCGCAACATTCGTGAGTGTGGAGGGCTGCACAACATGACGGTTTCACCTGCTAGCTCGGTGAATTCCGCCGGGACAGTGGTTTCTGGCCGGTCATTCTCCTGCTGTTCCAGCAATGTCAAAACTAGCTCAAGCGTTGTGGACAGCACTACGACGCCGCCGCGGCCGCCGCTAGATCTGGAGGTGCGAATGTTTTTTTTTTTAAGCATGTTATGTACTTTCTCTGGTACTCTTCAGTTTGTCCCCGCTGGAATTAGCCTTGGTTTCTGAACTGTAATTTTGATGAGGAAGAAAAAGGAGATCCATAGAAAAACGAAACAATAGGCATGGTGTTGACGGGAAGTAGCTATCGGCTCTTTTTTATACGGTTGCTAGTTTTGATATTTTTCTTGATTTTCTTGTATTTTTCTTAGCTGTCAAGCGGTCGATCAGTCAATCACTGGCACTTGGGAATTTTAGTTTCCGTTATTTTTAACGCTTGAATTTCTGTTATCACTTTATGAATTCGTGGTTGTTTAATGAAGTTATTAACGCTAATGTGATCCTGCAGGCCAAGAGTTTCGATACTGTAGAATCAACATGCAGCAATATCAAATTGCTCAGGTTTTCGACAGTGTTTCTCTTCATGCGCGTTGAAATTTCAGACCGTCTTATTTTCCTTCCCCTCTGATTGTCACTTCCATATGGTTAATTTTTGTTCAGCGGAGACATGTACTTGTTAAGCGAATCATCCGGAGACTCGGAAGAAACAATGACGTTACAAGTGAAATCACCATCGGCGGTGGTGAACAAGCAGCGGAATATTCCGGTGGCTAATATGCCACCAAAGGAGGAGATTGAGGAGTTCTTTGCAATGGGTGAGAAGTACGAGCAAGAACGTTTCGCGGAGAAGTGAGTGCTATTGCTTTGTGTGGCGCAGGATAAGAGAGAGGATTCGCGCACTGTAGAAATCAAATTCGAACCACCATAACTAACTAACAACTTTCTCTTTCCTTGCAGGTACAACTATGATATTGCTGAAGATATGCCGTTGGATGGCCGGTACCAATGGTTCGTTTAAATTGAATGTGCATGATGAATCAGTATAGGAGAGAGAAGGAAATTTCACAGGACTAATTAAAGGGTGAGGAGGCTAACCTGACACAAGGTAAAATCGAAGTTGAGAATGCGAATTCCGATTGCTAGCTTGATCGGGTTGGTTTTGCACAGCTAACCGCTTTCTCTTTATCTATGTTCTGCAATAGAAGCTGTAGCTTTCTGCGACATTGTCACTGTCATATAGGCAGAGAGCACTTAAATGGAATCTTTCTTTCTGCAAGTGAAATCACGTAAATCAGAGTTGCAAGGACGGGGAAAATCGCATTAATTTGATGTCCGAGTGTTGTCATTGAGCTTCTTTTTCATAGTTTCCAGCAGAATAAAATGAGATTCCGCCAATTCCTAGGGTGGTTTTATTCATTGGGGAGGGAAAATTCATGGATAAAAACATTAATTTGTGCCGATAAGTTTCTATGAATAATGTATGTGCTTTGGGAATTTCTTTTGGTTGTTTCTTCTCAGCTTTTCGCTGCCTCAAATCCTTCGTGGGAATTAATTCTTTTCCAGTTAGCCATTTTAGAATGTTCTGTTCATGCCAAGGCTATGATTCCCCGGCCCTATCTGGTGGGGACCATGTGCGTTTGGACATAAAGAAATGCCCGCATATATAAACTATTCAACTTCTCCTTCACCATAAATGATTGAAAGTATCAGCCCATGAACATGCACAAAATTAACAATCGCTCCAACAATGACCCCTCAACCCATAGTCTATATATATATATATACACATAGCTACCCTATCTCGTAGGTACTCTATTGAACCCATATTGGGTTGTCCGCTAGCTGTGTCCAAATTATTGGATTATTTGGGTCGCGGCAAAAACCATGTTCACCTTATTCACAATGTCACTTTCACTTACGTGGGGGACTTACCCCGTGAGAATCTTACCTACTTCAATAGGTTATCCTGTGTGCTTGATTATTGGTGTTACAAATTGCCCAGACGTGACGAGGAGAGAGCCATTTAATTCATGCCTCGAAAGTTAACCTCACATACTGTAATAATGTGATGTTAATTGATCTGAGCAGACTAGTAAAAGGAAAGTTTGTTTGTCAAGTCTCATTTTTGTCCGTGGATTTTGATGAAAGCATGGACGTGACATACTACTCGATACGAAGGGAAGATATGCGAGAGGCAAGATAGAAGAACACGGCGTGGCAGAGGCAATGTCGGAGCCTAAAGAAAGAGGGGTACATAGCCTCCCCGAACAATGTCATCATTACAAACGTGTCCAAAAGGCCAGCACCACCACCCCCTCATCCATGTGACCATATGCACCATTCATCATACATGAAGTGTTTTAGATAATATATAATTCCCAAAAAAGAAAAGGAAAGAACAAAATGATGAGAGAAGAGGGGGCTGCACGTGGTGTGGTGGAGTGATCGCGGGGGGATTAATTTGCTTTGGATCTGATGCCGTCTTTTTTAAACAGGAAGAATTTTAGTTACCGAGTACGGTAGCTACTTAATTACAAGCGTATTAAAAAAAATTTAAAATTTTAATTCAGTTAAAAAAAATTAATACTTGACAAAAAATTAAGAATTGCAATGATAAAAATATCAAAATGACATTCACTGTTATGTAAAATTATTAATTATTAATTTTTTACTCTACTTATTAATTTAATAATATGAGTTATAAATGGCATGAGTTGATATGTCAATAACTATATAAGATTTGACGTTAGTTGTTAAATTATTAACTTTACTTACTAATTTACTAACATTATTTGTAATAAGGTTAGCAAATTAATAATTAATATTACTGACTATTTGACAAACGGATATAATTTATAAATAATATTGATAAATTAATAAGTAAAATAAAAAAATTAATAATAAGTGATTCTATGTGACAAGTGAATTGTATTTTGATCTTTTTACTGTTGTAATTTTTGATTTTTTTTCTGAACTAAATTAAAATTTTAAAATTTTTCTAAACTCACATGTAATTGGATAGTTATCTTTAACTGAAATTTTTTCTTTTAAAAATGGCAGCACAGAGGTAGCAGAAATTGCAGAGAAAGATAAACAGCTTTGCAGGGATGGTACTATGGTGGAGGATAGAATGTTGCTTATTGATGAAGAGAAAGGTGATTTGGGTTTTGACGCTTCTTATTATTCTCGCCACTTTTTCTCTTCTCACGAAACCGATTATGAGGCTAACAAGGAATTACTGTGGATGAACGTGGCCTCAACGCTTGTTAGTTTTCGTGATGGAGCTTTGGTTGGACAAAAACGAAAATAAAAACCATTAATCCCAATCCCTATTGTTTATGACTCTCATGTCTCGGATTTCCGGACATTTTACAATTTCTGCATGGAATGATTCGCATTATAAACTGCTGCATAGGATCAATCCCGTTGTCATGGTCAGGAGAATTTCTTATCTATTTTTCTGCTGCATAAACCTTATTCCAGTGTTTTGGGATAAGAGCAGGTCAAATTTGTCTACGTTGGCAAACATGTCTTAGACGCTGAGTTTTTGTCTCTTGTAAATAAAAAAATCATCATATAAAACCTATACACAGGTCATATACACATCACTTTTATTCAGATAAATTCTTCCATGAATAAGAGAATCATCTCATTCATGCTCTGTCTAATAAAATTATATTAATTTAATCAAATAAAATCTTGTGTGCTTTTTAATGATTTTCTTGGAATAGAGTATCATTTGAATGTAAAGTCAAGAAATTAAAATAATTTAAAGTGATATAAATAAGAGATAACACATAAGATTAAATGAATTTGATATGACATGTTTTTGTTGGATTGTATACAAATGACTTAGTACATTGGATTCATGCACTTGATAGGATATTCAGTCGATCTTCATGTCGAAGATGGGACCAAGCGTGTGATTTCTAGCCACTTTGAATTACATGTGAATGCAATAAAGAGATTTGGATATATAGCTTATTTACAAATGGCCATTGCATCTTAAAAGTTATATATGGTATAACGTGCCCCTCTAGTGAAAGATGAAGGGAGTACTCTGCTCTTTTCCAAAGATGATGGATTTGTTACACCACATAGCACAACATCAATGAGTCCTCTATAAATCTATGCTCTAAGTTGCTTTTAATTATTCCTGATGTATGAGAGCCTTGCTAATTCAACATAGTACAGCCATCAACTAAAAATTGTTGAAATAATTTCCCTGCAATTAGTAACGTGGATGATTGGTTGAACCACTCTTGAATAATGTAGGCTAGGTATTCCTTTTGAGTCCACTTGTTCTTTTTAGAGTGCATGCTTAACATATTCTCACTGTGAGGCACATCTTCCCTATATCCATCCTTTTTGTATGGAAGCAAAAGAGAATACTGCATTGGCAAGTAGTGTGGATGAATCTTTGATATTCGCTATAGTAGTCAAAATCTATACTGCACAATAATGTCTCTATCATATAATGCAGAACTTATGTTACCAATAATTAGTGCAACCACCTTTGTTGTGCATGCCGAAAGGTTATACATCCTCCCATTAATTCGCTATTTATGGACCAATCTTATTAAATGAATTTGATATGACATGCTTTTGTTGGATTGCATAAAATGACTTGATATATTGGATTCATGCAAAAATTTCTCTTTTTATTCATGAATTAAATTAGGTTATGCTAAAATATATATATATATATATATATATATTAGGGAAAAATTATATACTCAAAGTGCCTAATTTCAGTTAAGTCAATACATGTTGATATTTTACATAATATTTATTATATAACAAACTCTTGTTGTTAATATTGTTAATAATTTAAAATTTATTTATTTTGATTTGATGGGACAAAAGTATATTAACTATACAATATTAAGAATTCAAGTATGAGTAGCTTCCCTTATTTAAATATACTTTTTCATGGTATTCAACCCAAATCATTTAATAAACAATAACCTAATATTTGATGGGTCTTTTATGTTGTACGGTGTTTGAAACATCGAGTTATAAGTGACAGTTCAACTTATTTATTTTGTACGAGGCATGAAGGCCAACCAAATTGTCGGAAACATTAAGCTATAAGTGGGATAAGTAAGATTCACGTACTTAATTTTATATATTTAATATAATTTTATCCAATCAAATTATGATAAATGTATCTTGATATGTTAATAAAATTAATAACAAAAATTTATCATAAATCAAATGGTTAGAGTGCAAAAATTTTACAAACACAATTGAAATTTTAAAGTATTTAAAAGCACAATGTCATCATGACAATTTTTCACAGCAGAACAATTTTATCCTGCATTGACAGGCCCTTTGTCAGTGGAAGAACTATGCTTATGTGGCATGCTTACATGGCTTCCACTCGTTTTTTCTGGCCAAATCATTTGCTTAGCTGGAGGTTTTTCCTATTCACCACACAACTCTTTGACTTCCTTTCAGCAAACTCATCCTGTCTCTCCACTCTCCTCGCTAGCATGGTGTCGCTGGTATTGACGCGTCTAATCACCAGCCTTAGGATTAGCCGATTTCGCGTGGCATCGCTGGTGTTGTCACATGCACTTCGACTTGCAACTCTGAGCCTCTAAACCCATCTTCGATCCCTAATCTCCAGAATCACTGAAGAGGAAGAAGCTCGTCCTCCTTGCGAATCATGAAGAAGAAGGTCGCCTTTCTTTGATCAAGTCTGTTTCAAGCTCAAAGGTTCGATCGAGTCTGTTTACTGAATAACATCACTCTCTTGGTTTTAGAGAGTCTGTCTCTTCTTTTATATGCTCAAGGAGCTTCAATCGTCCTCCTTACGATTTCAACCCTGGTGTTAATTTTTTGTTTTGATTTCTGCCAACCCCTTAGTCTCCTTACGATTCCACCCCTGGTATTGACCTGTGGTCTGATTATTGGTTTTGATTTCTGTCGACCCCTTCATTACCAAGATTTCTCCGTTCCCTCTTTACCAAGATTTTTGGTTTTGATTTGTGTGGTTGAATATCTTGTTTTTGCTATTCAAATTTTGAATTCAAGTGAATTTCTGAATGTTAGCTCGGGATTGTTGAATATTGTGTTGATTTATGGTTTGATTGTTGGTTTTGATTTTTGTTGATCCCTTGATTACCCAGATTTCTGTGGAGGATGGTGAAGGGAGGGAGGAGAAAACAACTTGAATATGTAGCCATGATTTTAAAAAAATATGTTTCATTTTCATACATGGAGTCCATGTGGCTTGCCAGCAAGCATTTAACAGTAAAAAAGTCAAAATAAATTACCAACATGGTCAAACCATCAACTCAAGGTAAAATTGCATCGTATTGAAAATGAGATGATGACATTGCATTTTTTAAATACTTTAATATATCAATTGTATCTCTAAAAAAAAAATTCAGGGACATATTTGTACTTAACTCTAGAATAAATAATTTATACAAGATTTACATGTCTTGATTTAATTAGAAATAAGTACATTAAGTATTTAAAGCTAAATATATAATTAAGTT